CAAGGAGACAGAAAGACTGCCAAAGAAAAAATCTTTACACAATTATGGTTTCTGTCCATCAAATTTATGCTGATCAGACTGATCAACATATGTGACCGGTCAGTGAGAAAGGAACAACTTAAGAAACACTTGGCCAGAGAGTTGCCAATTTTCACTGGAAATTGCTTCAAGACAGGCTATTTTTATAGCCCTGACATCATCACAGCATTGCGATTGTGCTTTTTGAAGTAAATCAATATATGAAATATGTTCCAGATGATGTATTGTTAACTGTACCTTGATTCCTGTGGCCAACACCCAACCAGTACTTCACTTCACCACTCAAACTTGACAGAAAAGATGACGAGCGCTTGTTATCATCAGATGCCAATGATGCAGTACTTACACTGTCTATCACACTATCATGACTTGTGTCATGATCACAATTTTCCAAGTGTCCCTTATTCAAATGTGCAGCTAAGCCCTCATTGGGCCCATTACCATCAAGTCCTTTTTTACATGAATCATCTTGATCCCTGCCAGATTTAGTCCCCTGGTACTGATTCCATTTGTTTTGGGGGGAACAAATCCCTGAATCTTCCGATGCAGGGGACAGTGAGTTACAGTCTTTGTCAACRTGAGATGTACTGTCTAGAACAGAATGCTCATGTTTTGAGCTTGCAAAACCTTCAACAAATTCAGTTTTTTGTTCATTTACAACTCCATCCACAACATCTGATATCAAATCATTTAGTAGTTCTTGTACAATTTGTTTTATTTCCTCTGGTACATCTCCCAGTGTCTTACTTCCGCCTTTATCTACATCATGTTTATTATCTCCTGTTGCAGTACTTAATCCTCCTCTATCTTGTATTGAAGGTGGCAAAGGCTCATTTAACCCATGTGTTGTCTTGCTATTATTAAGTTTTTTCTTATCCCCATTTTTGGACGGTACTAGATTACTATGTAGCTTTGTAGGTTTGTTAAGTGGACTGCTTGTGTTGGTCAGGTCCATTTCTGCACTGTTCTGGTGAGAGACTGACTCTATTGTTTCATCATCGAGATAAAACCTGAGTGGTAATTAATTTAACAATTTGAATATAAAAATCATTAGGATTTCAGACACCAGGAGATTTGGAAAGGTTTTGGTTGGTGGTGGGGGAAGTGGACAGATGGTTAGCCTCATAGACACAACAACTTAGGGGAGAGCAATAACAAAATTCTGCAGGAAAAAAATCAGACTCTTATTATTAAGGGATCACTAGGACAGCTTTAACCCTATTCCAAATCTCTGATTTGACATTTAGGAACCAGTCATAATTCAAGTCTGAGGGGGGGTTTTTGATGCAAAAATTTTTTTCAGACCCCAACATAATGCATTTATGTTTTTCAGGTACCCCTTTCAATTCGTTTAAAAATCCTCCCAATCCTGCCAATCCTCCTTTTGACCTTTCAAGGCCCCCCATGTTCCACTAAAAAAAATTGAGGGCCCCCCATTTTCTCCTCCACCCCACCCCCCCTCTCCTGCCCCCCTCCCTCTCAACTTAAATAATGACTGGTTCCTTAGTTGGTCAAGTCATGATTACTATATCATCATTGGGCAGTGCAGAGTGCAGGATAGGGGCCRGGGGAGGAATGGATATCACATGCATTCCTTTAAACTAATAAAGTCTGAACAGACAGTCAAGAATTTGCAAGGAATTAGTTACATGTACCTTCCTGCTTTTAGAGGATCATGCACAGCCATGGCTGCAATGTCTTTGAAAAGAGCAGCGCTGGAAACAGCAGACATTGGTGTCTTGATGCTATATCTATCTCTACCTCTGTCCATTACCAAGGGTTCTGAGACATTAGGATTAAAGATAACAGACTGAGGAGTGACTAGCATTACTCCATTTACCACACCCTGTGGATAAAATCATTACACTTTAGCTGTAACATAGACAATAGAGTGCAATGGTTTGGAAACTCCATAGAACAAAGCTATTGTTCTGCGTTCCAGGTTGAACCATACCATCACATGATACTGACTGTGCACAATGAACTAAAGCAAGTATGGCTAAAAAAGCATGAAAAAAGGCAATTTCCTTTTCAATAAACAATTAATATTAATCATATAGCATTAATTAACAAATAACATGTACTTTAGAACATTTCTTTAAKGGGAAAAAACTCCTATATTATTCCCTAACACTGTGAAAAAAACAGAGCAACTTTTCCTTCTCTGTGCACAGTCAATGCCATATAACAATGGATAAAGTCGAACAAAAACCTAGAACAATAGGTTTCCAAACCATTCTGCTCCATTAACTATTGCTGTAAACAGCCCTGTCAATCACCCAGGGTTTTGAGACATCAAGGCAAGAATTTCCCAATGAGCTTTTAACAAGCAATAGAACCCTTTTATTTAATAATATATATAAAAGCTAAGACAAACCTGTCCATCGGTAATATATTTGGCCTTTATCTTCAGGAATGACTCCGTTATCTCTTCTTCATCGTCACTTAGTAAGGATACTTTCTTGGTAAGTTTGATTTGTTCATGGTGTCCTTGGGTAGAAGAGTGATGATCTCTTATCTATAAATTAAACGCCTCATCATTTACTAGATGTCCAATATTTGAGGAAAGAAATATATAGTCAAATCCAAGTTTTTGATGGTCAATGCTCTAGTAAAAGGGGAATTACCAGAGTTGTTCTTCCTTTTCTCTCTCTCTCTCGCATTCAAATTTTAAGTTTAATCTTTGGCATTTCTTGGACATTTCCTATATTCAGAACTACATTTTTGCTTATTAAACACATCTAGGACAGAAATTTGTAAAGCAAAGTCAGAAATAGCCTCTGGGTCACTGATGTTTGATGGAAAACAACTAAACACTTTTTTTTAAAGTGTATATGACACGAAAAAATTTTAATGTTAAGAATGTGTAGTTTATTGGCATTAATAAGAATATCA